GTATCCATGTTGCTACCAGATGAGATTCCTGATGAGGATGTGGATTGCTGTCCTGCTAGTTTCCCCAGTTGCAACAGAGAACGAGGTAGCAGGGACGTCAGCGCTCTGAGCAGCAGAGTCCCAGGCTGCCTCATCTCTCTGCTCCAGCTCTGTCATGCCAGGGGGATGCTGAGGCACAGCAATCCCCAAAGCTCACACTCCACCAAGAGCGGCTGCCCTGAGCAGCATCGCTGCAGGGACGCAGCACGACCCAGCCCCTTGCCGCCCACGGTCATACGCTGGCTGCAACGTCCCACAGGACCTTCCTTCTGCAGCACACACTGCTCTTATCACGCCAGACCTTTTAGCCTGTCATCCTGCCCCCATGTCCCTGAAGACGAATGGACTCACGAGCCCCCGTGCTGTGCGGAGGGAGGGGTGGGTTTGTTGGATTGTTTGCAGAGGCACGCTTTGGCAGAGCCAGGTGCTCGGCTCCGCTGAGCGTGCCAGGCCTGAGGCTTTACAAAGAAGTGTGGTGCCGGCACAACCCAGCCTCTCTTCCCCATGCTTAGTCTCTCTGCTGGGAGCTTTCTACTCTCTCCCTCTGCTCTTGCCCTGGATCCTACAGACAGATGGAGGCAATGAGTGGAGGAGGGGACCCTGCTATCCAATAGACACATCCAGCACAACAACAGCTCCGTGCTCCCACACAGCAGCCCAATTCAGCAATCTGACCTCCTGGGTGCTCCCCAAGTCTCATCCTCCTTGCTCTCCTCTCACCATGCCCCACATACCAGCTCACCTCTCAGCACACTGGCTCAAATACTATCCCGATCTGTTATGCTTGATTTTACCCAGAAAGGTGGAGGGCTGACTTCAGGCCCCTGCAACATGACATACTTGCAGCACATTTCAATGCTGGTATTTGTGCAAAGGTTGGGTAAAAGAGGGTGGGTTATCAGAAGAAGAGGGGACTCAATCCTAGGGAGCAGGAGGAACTGAGAGTACTGTTCACTGTTCATGTACGATCACCCACCTGGCTCCCAGGCTAAGGTCTTGGCAAGAATGATAGATGCTCCTGCAGAACCAGAGGCACATGCTGGCCCTCAGTGGGAAAGCACAGTTGAATTAATTCCTCTTCTCTTGTTATGTTCAGCAGAGAATGTCAGCTCTTCTCCAAGCTACAGTTCTATATCCTTGCTTCTCCAGCCCTGGCTGTTGTGCAGGAACACTTATACAGGGCCAGCAGGTGCCAGAGCCCGGAATTTGCATCCAGGTTTTTCACTGAAATGGACTCTGAAAGGTCTTCAGCCTTTTGCAGCCTGGCCTGGACCCAGGGGCCCTTGCAATATGTCTCAAGACTCTTGCTGTAGAGCTGCTTTGTGTCTGAGAGTGGTACACTCCTAAAAATGCACCGTAAAAAAAAAAAAAAAAAAAAAAAAAAAAAAAAAAGCCACACAGGGCATGAGGCTCTTTCAAATCTTGGGAAGAGTGAGAGAACTGCCACAATTCTGCCATCTATCTGGAAACCACAGATGCATCCAGCTGGGAAGCCTACAACACATCAAGCCATTCCCAGTTTTAACAGCTGCAAATAGGTAAGGCAGTGTTAAAACCAAGAAATCTTTATCATAACAGCAGCAAACCTCACCTTGAATGAATGGTGGCTAAGCAAGTAATGTTTTCAAGCATCTTCCCATGCCTGGCCTGCATTTTCATGTCAGCTGCTGCAGCACAAGCTGCTCCAAGCTTATATTACAGCTGAGAGGAACCAGTGCCTGAGGTAGAAAATGTGTGTTTAGAAGGAAAGATATATCCAGTACCTTTTGGAGTCCATGAATGGACATATTACAGTCACCTCAACTGCAGTAGAGAGAAGGAAAAAAAAAAAAAGGAAAACGGAACAGCTGTGAATCAATATCTGGAAAGAGTTTGCAGATCTAGAAAGGGAATTATATACCACAGTAAAGGGATTAAGGGATAGATAAAAGAGAGGGTAAAAAAGGGAAATTACAGGTCGCTTTTGCAGATGACAAATATGTTGCACGTGTCACTGAGGAGGCTGCAAGCGAAAGCTACAAGAGGCATAGCAGAGCTCAGATGCATGATTCCCAGAAGATGAAGGAACAGATTTTGCCCAATCCTGAGGTGCTGCTTCAAAAAACAATTGTTAATAGAAAACTGTATTGTGTATCCAAGAAGTTTCTCTTCTGCAGAGAGACATTTGCTAGTGAAAAAAACCCAAGGTCTTTTCTTTAAACCCATATATACTTTCCAGGCTTCCTGTGGCATATGAGTGTCTGGATTTAGAGAGCAGCAGCTTAAGCTAAAAGGTGAAGAGGTCCAGTTCAGTTCCCCAAATTTGAGAAGGGCTCAAACAAAGTACACAGGAACAGCAAGATAAACTGTGCATTAAGAATACCTGCCCTTTCTTTCCAGCTCCTAAAAGCATCAAGGAATGGAGAAGATACAAGCTGGAGCTCTGAATTTCCAGATCACCTAGGAGACAGCACTTGAGGCAGGAAATCCTCACAGCAGCCCAGGAAAAAAAAAGAAAAAGAAAGAATCTTTCAAAAACAGCCTTCCCTTACCCATTTGCTCCCCAGGCAGAAGAGCCAAATGACTAGTAAAACAGTTGTGGCAGAAAATACCCAGGCAACAATATAGTATCTCAAGAAGATAAAAATTCATTCCTCTATCATGTTTGTTTCTGGTCTGAAGCAAAAGGTTCTGCAGAGAAAACTGCTCCAAGACAGCCAGTTCAACAGTTTAAGAGAAAAACATCCTCCTGTGTAAAAGAGTACAATTTACAATAAGATTTCATCCTCTCTTGTTTACTAAGACTTTGCTGTTTACCTTTCACTGACTATCTGATATTCTAACCAATTCAAGATTAGGATTTTTTAATATTTTAACTCTGCAACAAACCAAAAATTAACTAAGTTTAACGCCTGTGGATTTTATGACAAGAAGTTGTCTACAACTGTGAGTAGACTGAAAACAAACATCGAAGATTCCAGATATCTTTCTGATTAAGAGCAGCTGTTCCCCAAGAACTAAAAAAAAAAGTTGCCTGTTAGCCAGAAAGTGTGGGTTGTTTGCAGACTGTTTCTTCCAATGCTTAAAAGAAAGCTGGTCAGAAAGCAATGGAACTTGGTCTTCCTTTCCCAATTAAGGGGAAGGCCATTCATCAGCTCTAGAACCATGCAATACTCAACTGAGCTGATCGAGTTCAGTTTGGACCTGTTTTGAATCAGCACAGTTTCGATCTGGCTTCTCTGTCTGCCCCACAAACATTCCCAGAGCACGCATCATGTACAGAGATGGTTGTTTCTGTCACGTGCTTTAGGTCGGGTATCCCAGGACTGGGACAAAATAAAAGGACTGCGCATCCCTAGCATCTTGGGTTCATACCTACACCATCTGCTTCTCTTTCACCTCTTTCTTTTTTTGTAAGTTCTTTATATTCCCAATGCCTTTAGTCTCTGAACACTGTGTTAAGGCATTATGCTATAAATATTCCGTGGGAATAAGTTTACAGCACAAGCAACTTGGCTTAAGGACAAAGTCTAGCATCCTCATGCTCTCTCTCTCACTTGCTTGAAAGAAATGTGTTCAGCTATTCTCTATTCAAGTGTCCCAGGATCAGAGGAGAATGCCGCAGTCATCAAAGCTACCCATCTCCACCCCTGTTCCAAGCAGCTACAGTACTGAGCCCTTCAAAAAATTTTAAGATGCAGTTTTATGAAAATAGATATTTTTTTTTCTCCTGCTACCCCTACTGAAAGGTTAACCCACTAGTTACAAAATGAGCTTTTGGGAAAGCCTAGTTTCAGTTGACTACTCCACCCCACATCTTTCACACAACCCTGCACTGTTACAGCCCCAGCACCTTTACAAAGCAAGGGCCTTAGTACCTCCTACTTCACCAAGGTGTTGCAAGTGTCAGATATATTTAAGAGCATGAAGCATTCAGATACTATGGAAACCAGGGCAAGAGAAAAACCAAAAATAGATGGAAGATGCAAGCTGTTGAAAAGTCTGGATGAGTCTCGCTGAGAAAGGCTGTGCTTGCTGCAGCTGATCCCACCAGAGCGGGATCCATTTAGAACTAAATTCCCCCTCTTCGCTCTTTCCATAGATTGTCTTTTTTCTCTGCCACAGGGAAAGAAATATTCTTTTTCCTCCTTAGGCCTTTCATTTTCCCTCTGTTTAATAGGCCTCCTAATTACCAGTTCCTCTGAATGATTCGCATTCTAGCTTGCCCTTCCCATGACCTGGAGTAGACTGCTGCCTGACTGCTTCTGTATAGCAGGATTATTGGGAACATATCATGAGAATAAACACTACAGAGCAATTTCCTTCTGAAAGGGAAATCCAACAGCAACTACAAAAAAGGATGTCTGAAACAAATAGAGGCACCAGCCTGTGAAACGCTATGCCTCTCTTTTTTTTTTTTATAATGCAAACACATTTATTGTGCATATTCACCTTCTACAGATGAACCAGTTGTTGAAGTATAATAATCCCATTCTTCACTCAAAACAAAAACCACAAAAGAACCATCGCCGACACAGAAAGTACTTAACGTGCTAGAATGACACGTGGAGGAAACACAGCAGATGCCAATATGAGGTATACAAACCATTTTACTCAACAGTCAACCGAGTGGAAGACAGTAACAGACGTAGAGCTGTTAAAGCACTCCACAAAGTTGAGTGAAGCAATCCATCCCTTGGAAAGCCAGGTTGGGGTCACATCCCTCACCAGCACAGACCGTGTTTGCTGGAGACTAGAGGTACGGAAGTCTCACTTCACAGTACTGGCTCTAGTTCCAGACGCACATTACAAGCTACTTCTTGAAAACAGAACAGTCTCTGGTCTTCTCAGCATGACCACAACCTCAGTGAGGAAACTTCAACGAGGTGCAGTGAAGGCTCCAAATAAGAATCCTTGGCTTTACAGTTGTCAGTGCACTTGAAGGAAGGGAAACAGATTGAAGTCATCCAAGATGCTTCATCTTATAATTTCTTGACTGCAGCATCAATCTCAGGAATGATCTCCTTCAGCTGGTTCCACTGTTCTGCAGACAGAGCAATCCCTAGAAACAGCGAAAGAGGTTTCAATAGGCAAGGTGCAAGCGTCAAGTAGCACACCAGACTGGCTCCTTCATACTAGCTACATAAGAGAGAGCTGGAATCTGGGGCAGAGGCACAGACCAGAGACAGAAGCGGCTTTCTAAGCACGACAGTTGTGCCAGTACTTTGGCATCCATATCAAGAAGTTCTCAATGCTATCTCAGAAACACCATACAAAAATATAAGCTCAGATTGCCTTTCAAGAGCCTCACAGCCCCTTATAGTCTATTCCCTGGTACAGTTTCCTACCCGCAAGAGCTGGGAAGAAATTCTAGAACCTTGCTCCATGCAGCAGCTAGGACATCACCCAGCTCTATTTTAAAAAAATGTCGCTAACAAGAAATCACTGGTATGGCTTGACCACTAGAGAAGAACTGGTTTCTTTTTAGATCCAGCATAGATAAAGTTTCGATGTTCTGTGTCCGCCCCTGACAAAACAAACATGGCAGTGGAATTGCTGTGCGGGTTCCAGCCAGACGTTGCCAACTTGTTCCTTTTGGCTTTGTAAAGAATCACATTAAAGAACTAGGGCCCAAGCTTTGTTAAATTCTCTAGATAAAGATCAGGGGCTGAGAACTCTAGAGAAAAACAGCAGAGGCACTATTTAAGCAACAACAAACTTCTTCACGATCTCATGTTTTAACTGAGAGATTCTCTGTCTTACATTGTGGATGTGCTCCTTTCCCTCTCTGCCCTCAACGGCACAGAAAAAGCTTGAGGGCTTTGCCTCTTATTTTCATTATAGGGTACACAGCTCTCTCTCAGCAAGTAATTTATACTTCTGAAGACATTAGTTTCTGGAAGGAAAACCATGCTTGGTGGTTCTGAACCAAACCAAGCTGAAACAAACTCATCTGCCCTGACAGAAAAGCCTATAGCAAGGACCAAAATGTTCCACAAGAAACCTCACATTAACGGACTCTTTGCTAGGCACAAAAGTCCAGAGCCTGTGAACTTCAAGGCAATCTGGCAAGTCACTGGTGAAGTCCCAAAGCAAAAGGCTTGAGTGTTGACTCCTCAGCTGAAGAGCTCCGGAGAAAAAGTTGTCTTCCCTTCTCCAGCTCCCTTTGCTTGCATCACCTGCTGCTGTGATGGGCCACCCAAGTTGTGTCACTACATCACATCATCAGACACCAAGTCAAAAGAATAAGGAATACTGAAGACAACAGCAATGGGGTGTCTTGACAGGGATCCAGAATGGTCTTAACCTTCTGTCCCCACCTAGATGGGTAAGGATGGACTTACTTCTGGGAGGCTCTCCTTGCCAAGTATAGCTCCACCATTACAGATTAGGGACAAACACAGAAAATGCCACTTTTTTACGCTTAGGCATGACCAGTACGAAAACACGTTTGTCAGCTGGCACTACGATACAAGAAAGCAACATCAGAGGCAGTGTTTTCAGCCTTCTCTCCTCCACTTTGCAGTTCTGCCCCTGCCTACAGGCAAAAAGACTGATGATCAGAGGTGGAACCAGAGTCGTGCATAGCAGCTTCCTGCACTGCTTCTCAGAGCAGAACTGCCAGGCTCCAGATCTCACAGGAGGCTCATGCTCACTCACTGTGCTTTTCTTCAGTTGTTGCCACCTAGGCTGAGAAAACGCTAAACCCTCCCGTGTAGTTTACGTAGCTCCCCAGTCCCTCAGTGTGGCAGGCACAGGTCTCCCTAACACCGAGGGAGGCAGGCTTAGCCAGCACTGGGGAGCCAGCAGCCAGGGCAGAGGCCCCCAGCCCCTACCTGCCAAACACAGCTGTACCTTTCCTTCCCGGTTTCAGGCTGCCCTCCTTGTCAGTGTAGAACTCCCTGACGTCCACAAGGGCCTTTCCCTTGAAGCAGGATACTCTCACATAACGCATCTTCCCAATCTGCGGCAACACAGAGCCTATGTTAAACCCAGCCCCACAACAACCTGCGCCTCGGCCCACAGCACCCACGGGGTCACTCAACGTGCCAGAGGACCAGTGAAGGAACAGGAGGCACCACGGACAGTCAGCTCAACCAGAGAGATGCTCTGCTACAAGCAAAGCAGGTAGAGGGGAGACTTGTACAAAGAGAAGGAAGATGTGTTCTTCGAGTGGATCCCCACCCTCCATACCTGGAACATACCCTCCTCTTCAGTGCTTTGTCCTAGAGGTTCTTCCGTCACCTTTGAAGATTTGGCCTCCGTTTTCAGCCTTTTCTCTGACTTAGAAGGCATTTCCTTCTTTCTTTTCTAGAAG